ACTACTACTACTACTACTACTACTACTACTAGTACTAGTACTAGTACTAGTATGTACTAGTGTAGCAGCAGCAGCATCAGGAGCAGGAGCATGAGCAGCAACAGCAGCAGTAGCCGTAGCTAGCTAGTAGGAGCAGGCCAGGAGCAGGAGCAGTAGTAGTAGTCAACTGTGCTAGGCTGCTAGGTCCACGGGCAACGAGACTAGCAATGCCGATTGAAAAGACGACAACGACGACGACGGCGACTACCACCGGCACGACGCTACGTATACATCTACCGAGGACATTCTACTCCGACTCCAATTCCTCAATGGCACCCCAAGACGACCTCCTAAAGATACATCGACTTCCTAAGCAGCCCAATCTAGACTATATATAGGTAAACCCCAAACGGTGGATTAAGGTGGGATTACTATGCATATATATAGTCAGGGATTGAGGCTTTGGGGTTTCCAACTTTTGGGCAAAGAATTCTCAGTCGAAGATCGCCCATAGGCCATATACAAGGATCCTAAACCACAAAACAGCTTCCGACTGTTGATGATTTATATTATTGTTATTATCAGTAATTTATAAATATATATATATATACTTATAATAATATAATGCGTAGATCATCAACAGTCGCAAGCTGCTTTGTAATTATTATGCGTAATAATGCAGGATTATATAAATTTAAAGATATCAACCGGAGCACCTGCCTATATGCATTCGGGCATTCGTGTCAGGGAATTGAGGATTTCTGATTTGACATTAATCAGATGTGCTTTTGTTTTTTTAGGTGGGTGGCGTAGGTTCAGGGATTTGAAGGAACTCAAGATAAGAACAGCGTAACACGGAAGCCGGACCCTAAACCGTTAAATCGTGTGGAAACTCCACATCTTAAGCCCTGAACCTCTGACCCCAAACAGCCCTTAACCTTACATTCTGAATCCCTGCGCCCCAAAACCTATACCCCTAAACCTCTAATCCCACACAAATCCCTCAAGCCCACAAGAGCGTTCCTGCCATGGAGCTGAATCCAATCCCAAAACCGTTGACCCCGAAGCTCGACACAAACTTTAAAGAACCTAGGGCCTAAACCCTAAACCTAATATAAATCAACACGCTACAGCTGCTGCTTCTGCTACATAGTACAAAACTCATGCTAGCTTGGAGCTACACTGCAACACTGGTCGACTAGATCTAGCTAGGGTCGAACAGTATACTCTTCTTCTCAAAGCACATATTGCTTCTAAGCTTAAGGCTTTCACACCAGGCCTCCGGGGGAAGAATATTCGAGTCGAATTGCTGAACCTATGGCCCAGAAAGACCTCAAGCTCTAGACGACTAGCAAGATGTCTGCTATGTTATAGCTAGCTTCTCGGGGTATGGGCTGTAGCGCTATGATCGTAGCTGCAGTCGAGGAACATACTGCTGGTGCAGCTGAGCGATGTGGACACCGAAGGCCTGCGGGTATGCCCCGGATCCTCGAAGATCTTTGCTGCCTGTCCTTAGAGAGCTTGATTGGGTTTTGCATTTCGTAGATGATAAGCAACATTATAGCCAGGCAGTTGGGTTTAAAGGCATATATTATTGAGGAACCAAGAAACACTTTGCGCGTTCCATTTTTGGTTCGGGCAGTGTACATCACCTTGTTCATTCGTGATCTGCGAGCCTTCACCATTGCACGGTCCTCTGCTGTCATTCTCCGATAGAGCTTCGTAGCCCAAGGACTCAGCCCAGGAGGGAGCATAAACACTTTAAGCTTGATGGTGCATGTAAATGCAATGCAAGTTTGTCGCTCGAGGAACAACTAGATCGATCAACATGATCTGCACTGTAAATAAGGATCTAGCCAATTGCCCAAGCCCAGGCTTGGCTTCTCGCACCAATGCTTGTATAATCCCATCCACCTGAGCTGCACTCGAATTCTACACTATCTATGTAGTATATTGCGACGTATGTGAGATCTAGACAAATTTTAAATCGAAGCAGTGCTAGCACTTGAAGACGAGCCACCACCTGACGGTAATGCCGTTCGTGAGCTTGCAGCCCAGCCGATCCAAGGCCAATACGAATTTGAAGTAAGGAAAATGCAGCAACAGTGAACACGAGGGATTTTCCACAAAGTAATAACTCCCGCGACAAAGGCCCAAAAGAGCTAGCAGTGCTGCTCGTGTTGCTAATGTGTTCCCTTCTTGCACGAACCCGTGCTCTTCATCGCCGAATGGCCGTAGTGTTGATCGTTTATGGACAGCGCTACACATGAAGCCGAAGCTGTTGCAGGGAACGCCCAGCCATAGGAGACCTGTTTTACGAAGTCTCAGCACTTGCTGGATTCCGAGCAGCAGACCGAGCGTTGTGAGCAAGTTGTGATCTTCGTGTCTCGTCATATAGTCGTAGGTTAGCCTCGGATTATGAATTCGAAGTTCGCACATCAACTTCAATGCACCTAACTCGTGAAGACAACGCAGGCCCGACTCCACCTCGACACGATCACGATCTATGCAGCTGGGACACGCTTTGCAGTTGAGGCGGCCTCCATCGAAGAGTAATCGGGCTTAGGTTTCAGGGTGTCAGGTTTAGGGCCTTAGGGTGAGGATTCAGGGTTCCGGGGCTTAAGGTGTAAGTCGACTATTATTATATTATAAATCTTGCCGGGACACGAAACCCTTTTGCGATGGATGCAACTCCACAAAAGATCTCAGTGCATTGTATATCCTGATTTGCATGCCATTCATCGCACAATGCACATGCAACACTTGCGCATGCTAGATCACATGCGATCATCCACATAGCTCGCTATGCGAGAGTTATTAGCTCGATATCATGCTCAGCCCAGTTGCACGCTCAAGCATACAGCAGTGAGCCACATAGTCCACGGCATGTATCCTCACACTCGAGATGGAGATTGTGGTCAGTTGCGGAATTCGGAATTATCACACATGCAGTGCTGCCGAGATTCAAGATCGGGGGCACATGAAGAAGCAGCAGCAGAGCAGTGGACACTGCCGACAGTTGTAGAGGTCCGGCGGTTGGGCCCATGGAGCTCTCTTGACCCTCCATAATTACAGATCTAGACTGGTCCTATGCATGTACACCATGCGCACTTCAGTCGAGTCAGCTCATGCGAGCACTATACCCTCCATCCAAAATGTGACGACAGGTTCGTACGAGCAGACTGTCATGCATGGATCATCATGCATAGCATGCTCTCTAGCACATGCGCGCATGCGTACGTACATTTGTTGCGACATCTTGCGCAGGCCTCGGAGCTCGCGGCGGCATACACTGCATATGTACAGCTAGCTATGACTGCTGTGCACCGACATTGAATTATCAATGTGCTGCTAGATAATTAAAGTTTCGACGACACTCCGGATCCAGTTGCTGTTGCAAACGTCCAAGCTTGATGAAAGATCTAGAGGTATTGATATATCATACACATCGATACTCGAGAACCCTGGAGTGATGCATGTTCCGTATCGAATGACACGGGTTCAGATCAGGCCCCAGCAGTCAGGCCCGCGACAGCATTCGAATGTGTGCTACTATGATGATATCTAGCCCTACGGGTCCAAAGAACCTAATAATTAGGTATACTTGGGTTTAGGATCGTAGTTCTGTAGCATAGGTTAGTATTTGGGAGAGTATATATAATTATTAAGTACTTGGACCCTTAGGGTAGAATCGAAAGAAGACCTAGAGTGTCTTAGCTGTATTACTTGTTGAAGGCTCCACTGCTGACAGGACCCATAAAATCAAAGATTCAGGCCCGGAATCTAGACACTAGGTTAATCGCGACCATCGCCCGCACAGGAGCTGCATCGATCCAGCACCCAGGACACTCGGCTTCCTGATTTGGCGGATTTCTCTTCCAGCTTCAGATCAGAGTTTTGGAAAATTAAATTAGTCGTCTATATATATGATGATAAGGAAGACCCATCATACCGAATGTGGACATCGCTGGGTTTGCATCGTAAACTTTGGAGGGCAATTTGCTGCAGGTATTCCGGGGATATTATATAAAAAGGGCTTAGGACTATAGGGTTTAAGGTCTAAGTTTAAATCTAAAATATAAATATAACTTAAACCCTAAAACCCAAAACCCTAATTTTGAAAACCACCCATATCTGATCAAAACCGGTCCAAATTTAATCGGCTCGAGGGTCCAATTCAAACATCAAACTTACAAAATTTAAACCCTCATAGACAGCCCATAACCCCATTTGCAACATCTATCTAGATAGCTTTACTGGGCAGTGAAGAAACCCTTGTCGATGCTAGCTTCGAACACAGGGTCTGCTATACACATTAGTTTAGGACTTTGCATTTGGGTGTAGGGTTTAGGGCTTGAGGCCTTTATGGTAATATATAGCAGTATATACACCCAGCAGCTAGTCGAGCTCGTCGACATCGATGTCAGTCCATCCGGCCAGAAACTTGGCGAGATCCCACCTGGATAGCAATATGGCTTATAAGAGCCACTCGAACTAAAGGGGAATCGGGCATAATTGTAATCATAAATTTAAATACATAAGAAATAATTCGCCAAGCCCTTGAAAGCCCAACCAAAAAACGATAAAAGCCTCAAGCAATAAACCCCAAAACCCATATCACTCTAAGCGAGGTATTAGATATCGATGGCTAGCGCCAGCTAGTAGATCCCGAATTCGGCTGGGGCACGCCCGAGCCACTCCTCCATGTCTAGACCAGTTCAAGGTGCAGCCTCCTTTGCGGTCCACGTTTACCTGCAGCATCGGATGACGGCCACTCGACTGGAGAACTGAGCAGTACTAATACTATAGTGCCTTGTTGCAGCTAATGGTGCGGCATGAGCTCGCGCATTGTCTTTAATCTTGCATCTCTGCACATAGAAAGAGTTCACGTACAAGCATACCGTGACTGGACAGACATCGGATCCCAAAGTAGCTGGTGGGCAAACAGTGTAGCTCCTTGGTTTGATGCATGGCATGGTACATGCGCCATGCATGATTCAAAAATGCGTGCATCCATGAGCTCATGATCGATTGCAGCTACGGCACTTTGAAGTGAAGCCTAGGGGCGGTTGCAGGTCCACCAAGTTAGGCAGATTGCGGATCATGGCAGCATGGTTGTCTGCCATCACCTGCCGGCGGTCTGCTGCTCTCCTCAAAGCTGCTGCCCTAGCAGCACGCTGTGCTGCCTCAGCTGCTGTTTCTGGCTCACTTGCTGGCTCCGGCTCCGGCACACCTGCTGGTGCTGGCTCCGGCACATCTCTTGCCTCCTCGCTTTCTGGCTCCGGCATGGGCTCAAACACACTTGCTGGCTCCGGCACACTGGGCTCCGACACACCTGCTGGCTCCGGCACACTTGGCTCCGACGCACCTGCTGGCTCCGGCTCCGACACACTTGCTGGCTCCGGCACACTGGGCTCCGGCACACTGGGGCTCGACACACTTGCTGGCTCCGGCACATCATGCTCCGAAACACTTGCTGGCTCCGGCACATTGGGCTTCGAGCTCATACCGGCGCCAGCAACATTTGATCGCTTGTTGCGTGGGCCCCGGGGTTTTTTTCGCATGTCGCTCTCAGCTGCATCCAGGGCCCTGGTTCTTCGACCCTCCGGCGTGACTCTTGTCTCCAGGTCTGGCTCTGCTGCATCTGGTGCCTTCCGCTTCCTCTGCCCGGCCTTGGCCTTCGCTGCTGCTTTGACTTCGTGGTGCTTCTGCTGGTGACTGGCTTTCACCTGCTTCTGCTTCTCCCGCACATCGTTGCCCTGGGCATCCTCATCTAGCTCGAGTAGATCTTGAAGCTCATCTGGTAGTGCAAGCCTCTCACTCAACAGCGGCGCACGGTCCTGCCACCATGCATGCATGCATGCATGCGTATATGCACATGTACCCATCGATCTTAATTATATCGCTCGTCCTTGAAGCCCGGCTTGGAACCTGATCCCGCAGAGCTCACCCTGGAAGGCAAGGAGGAAGAGCTCATCGGCCTGGAAGGCAATGAGGAAGAGCTCGCCGAAGAGGCCAGCAGTGCAGCACTGGACACACCCCTTTTGATAGCATGCTTCGGGGTTGCCGTGGATTGCTGGCTTGCACTCGCAATATTGCACTCATCCCGTTCGCGCTCCATAGCCTCTAGCTCTGCTAGTGCTTCTGGCCCCAAGTAGGTCTGTGGGTCGGGTACCTGTGCATGCATTCGTATGAATAGGCATCGAACATATATACATGTACATGCAGGATCCGGAGCATGCTATGTGCAATGAGACACAGGAGGCTCCGACTCAGAGTCGGATGCCGCTAGCAGCGCTGCCATGTCATCATCATCAAGATCTTTCGAGTCATTTTGCTTCTCACAGAGAATCTGATGCACCAGTCCCTCCAGCTCCTTAGCAGATCATTCGAAGATCAGATTTCGAATCATGTGTAGTATTATACGCTAGCAGTGCACAGACATGTACATAGCATATATGTATCACCAAGATTCCGCATCCAAGTTACGGGGCATTAGATCGTCATCCTCATCATCCATTGCAGCATCCGCAATTGCTGCAGGAGCTCCGGCTTCCGGAGCCTCCCCATCCTCCATGGATGGGCTGAGACCCAGCAAGATGCTGTCCTGAGACGATCTTAAAGGGGTCCGGTGTTGAGAATAACATCTAGATAATCTAAGATATTATCGGTTTATAGCTTTTCGTTCTGCTTTAAGATCGTATCGTGTTTCGGGCCAAGGGTTGTAGGGATATTATAAATATAAATATATATATATATATGTGTGTGTGTGTGTATCGAGATTATTTGGGATTGACGACGGTACCAATATTAAAGATTTTCTCATTGCACCAGTGCAACACTTGGGGCATTGAGCACGGAAGTTTCACCCAACCATGGAAAGCGAAAGGATCCTAGCTCAAAAGAAACAGTCTACTGCTGCTGAGTATATATGCAAATATAGCTAGATACATTGCAATTGTACATGTACTATATTACTAACACCTATATGTCATTATTATAGTAATTATTCGTAGGGCTGTATTTTTCGAAGACTCGGCATCCGAAGCACCGGCATCGGCTTCATCAGCAGGTACCACAGCACGGCTATCGGGCTCGGGCTCGGGGTGGGCCATCCACCCGATTCTCTGCGCGAAGAGTTTTTTCAAGATCAGCGTCTTCGTATTCCTGATTTCGAACAGAAACGACAATGAACGAGCGAAAACCTCAAAACTAGATCAACGATCTCATGATGCACGCACGACCCCCACCCCGCTCAAACAAGAATCTTCGCATCGAATGTGCGACGAGTGAGCCGCTGCAAAGCGGACAGAAGTCCTTTGAGCTTCACCGCCTCTGCATGGGCCCAGTCCTAAGATGAAGACGTCGATAAGTCGATAAGCTCGCAGCCGGAGGATATCATATATGACGTACAATGATCATTTAAGCAGGGCTCCTTCACCTCAGCCTTTCCGCCCCGCTTCGTGCGGACTTGGGGGTGCAGGTTGTATGTCGCGGAGATGTGCAGGAAGGCCACCTGCAACAGTCTATTTAAAATGTTTAAACAATCTGCAGGATATCGTCGATCGTATCAAGCTGCCTGTCCCTAGCATGTATGATGACAGGCCTTGTGGTCGGCAAGATTCGGCACACCTTTATCATCCACAACCGCCGGAATGTAGGCCTTGAGCAAATGAAAGTTCGTCAAAAGCGCTGGCTCGCCGACCTGCAGAGCACGAGTGCACTCAACAATAATGCACCTGAGTTCCGAATTGAATCACGATCTGCCTGGCTCAAAGGCGCTGCGCCGTCCTCTATCTCAGCCATCTTCACCACTGGCTTGCCCTGATATCGATCATGGCTGCATACATCCAACTCATGATCGAAGTGGTTATGCATGGTGATCTGTTGCGGCCACGGCTCATCCGCACTCCGGAGGCTTTCGAGCATCCTCTGGTCCTCAATATGCTTCCGAAGCCCGTTGACAATCTTCTCGGCACCTTCCTTATAATAAGCCGGCCGGAGAAAATAGTATGCTGATGTACTGCATACATGCATGTACACTATTTGCAATAAAGACTCGGTGAGGAAGTACTTCATCGGTTGAGTAAACCGACGGTCTTCCAAAGCACAAGCCATGCTCTCTCACCTAACACTAGACCTGCTGGGCAAAAACTCTGCAAAAGCCTTGCATTGCAAAAGCAACACATGTGCGACAGTCAGACACTGCGCTGCAGACATCATGGTGGCACACATCCTGCAAGCGGCGGGGGGGGGCTGCACCTCGAATCTTCGAATTATGCCGCTTTCGCACAAGCAGCGCTGTGCGGATCATGGCGTGCAATCGGAAAAATATTATCGGCTCCGATAGATGCACACTGAAAGCTTGCAGAACATCCTCGAATGAAGCGACTTTGATTAAATGCACTCCAAAGGCTTCCCCCTGTCTTGAAACCATGAAAAATTTCAGGACTCAAGGCTTACAGTTGTCTGGGTTTCGGGGACGAAAGAACCATGAGCCTCTGCAGTGTCGGCGATTATATGCCCACATAGCGACCTTATAAGAAAAGGCCTCTCTGGAGCCTAATTCCACTCTCATGATGTTTCCGGCTGATACTCTCCATCGCAGACACTCGGACCCTCAGGGGAAGGCACCAAGTTGTGGCCCTGCCCGAAGCACTTGACGCTCCCACGCAGCAGCCACCAAGTTGCAGCAAAAGGCAGACAAAGGACAACCTTGCGGAATGCCACAAGAGTTTATCCCGTGAATCACACAGGGAGTGACGCAACCATCGATAAAGAGGGTGCGCCTCAGATTGGCATAATGACGTAAGGGAACCAGGAACACATCCGGAAGACCAGCTTGGCGCACCAGCTCAGCGATGGCAGGGCACAAAAGCCTATCAAAGCACTGAGCCTGATCCAGCGCCAAGACATGACGGGCACGGACATTACCTAATTTCGCATCTTCCAAGAGAAGGCGAGCCATGTTAGCAGCCATGGCAGCAGAACGACCTCTGCGTGCACCATAGAGACCAGGAGGCACCATGACGCGTCAACAGCGGCACCACTCACAAGACTGCGCAGAAGTGTTGCTTTCAACATTTTCTTTCGGCAGCATCCTCGGTCGCAGTGCATGAGAGCTGCGGCTTACGGGCTGATTCAAGCCAGCGCGGGGTCACAGCCTCAGCAAGACTGTCTCGCAAGGGTTGCGGGCACAGGGGACGCAAGGACTTGTAGAGCCTTAAGAGTTAAGAGGGAAGGGATGCCGAGACCCCGAAAGCCAAAGAGAGCTCTTCCATCACAATCCGAAACCTCCCTCAGAAGCCTGTTCCTCTTTGCAAAAAGTTGTGAGCCCCCCAAAGGTCTCCCCCATGTATTGCTGCCCGCGACATCAAAACGCAACGAACATGAAGCAAGCAAATACGTACCCCACACCCTCAAGCCTAAACATGAAACTCCTTTGCTCGGTCTGAGGTTCGAGCTGAAAACCGTATTCTGGATGGCATGCATAAAAGTCCGCCGCATACGTGGCTGCCTTGCGTCGAGCAGTCACTGTGTGTGTGTGTGCGTATGCGTGCAGAGGCGTGCGTACGCGTGCGTATGAGTGCGTATGCCTGCACGTGCGATGTGCACGCATTGCGCGCGCGTTGTGCGCGCGCTGTGTTGTGTTGTGTTGTGTTGGGTTGCGTTGGGTTGCGTTGCGTTGGGCTGGGTTGGGTTGCGTTGCGTTGGGTTGGGTTGGGCTGCATTGCCGTTGCGTGGCGTTGCCGTTGTTGCCGTTGCGTTGGTGTGTTGTGTTGTGTTGTGTTGTGTTGCGCTGCGCTGTGCTGTGCTGTGCTGTGTTGTGTTGTCTTGTGTGTGTATTGCGTTGTTGCATTGTTGTGTTGTGTGATGTTGTGTGTGTGTGTGCATGTGTTGCGTTGTGTGTGTAAGTGTTTTGTGTTGTGTTGTGTTGCGTTGCGTTGTGTCGTGTTGTGTCGTGTTGTGTGTTGTGTTGTGTGTTGTGTTGTGTGTTGTGTGTTGTGTGTTGTGTGTTGCGTGTTGTGTTGTGTGTGTGTGTGTTGTGTGTTGTGTGTGTGTTGTGTGTGTTGTGTGTTGTGTTTTGTGTGTGCGTGTGTGTTGTGTGTTTTGTGTGTGTGTGTTGTGTGTGTGTGTTGTGTGTGTTGTGTGTGTGTGGTATGTGTTGTGTGTGTTGTGTGTGTTGTGTGTGTTGGTGTGTGTGTTGTGTGTGTTGGTGTGTGTTGCGTGTTGTGTGTGTTGGTGTGTGTTGGTGTGTGTTGCGTGTGTGTGTGTGTGTGTGTGTTGCGTGTGTGTGTGTGTGTTGTATGTTGTGTGTGTGTGTTGTATGTTGTGGTTGTGTGTGTGTGTCTCTGTGTGTGTGTGTTTGTTTTGTGTGTGTCAAATACCAATGACGGCTTCCCAGCCGCGCCTCCAGGCCTTGTTGCGCAATCAAATCAGCGAAGGAAAGAGTTGAGAAGGCATGGGTGCGGAGGATGATACGATCTTCTCCATGTATTGGGCGTGGGGTAGCTCCCTCCGTTTCAGCAAGGGAAAGCGCTGTACCCTTCCCCGCAGCCGGGCGGGAGCTTGTCATGGGTTCATCAGTTTCAGCATCAGGCTTCTTTGCCTGCTTTGCAGGATCGGCAGTTGGCTCGGTGTCCATTCCCAAGCTTCCAGAATTCTTGCGCGCGCCACATGCAAAGGCACCTGACCAAGGATTGCAGAATTGCAGACCGTTACCGGCACACAAAAACAAACACACACACACACAGCAGCACGCAACAATGCCGCAACATAATGCACACTGACAAAAACCCTGCGCACGGAAGCGACGGCATCGTGCTAGAGAAGTGGACGCTTCTCAAAGAACTGTCTCCCTTGATAGATCTTGATTTTTTTAGGTGGAACATTTATCACCAGGATGCTGGCTTGGCGTGGGTGGGGCGGCGCGCATGTTTTAAAGGTTTAGAAGAGAAGTCCTAAGGGTTTAAAAATTGTATATTACCAGAGTCCTTGCCTATAGTGATCCTTATTGACACCCCAAAGTACCTAGTTATTGGGTACTTGAGCCACACAAGGGTTCCTACAAGGGGAAGTTGGGACCGAGGTAAAAGGCTCTGAAGGTAGGTGTGCACCATCAATTAGAAAAATTCTTTCAACCCAGTACACGTTTTACGTACTGTTTGTAGGACACATGGTGAAAGGTTCAGGGTTGAGCCTTCCAAACTGTAAATTTAAAGCTCCATTTCCACAGCCCTGAACTCCCAATAACAAGTTAAACCCTCAACCCCGTAAAGCGTGAACCTGAAAAACAAAACCATAAAAACCGGCCTCATCCAACCTCGGTCTCTTTTTCGGCAGGGATTCCTTAGCACAGCTACGAACTTTGGTCGTGGTCGTGGTCGTCGTAGTA